TATACATACATAACATACACATACAGAAAGAGAGAGAGAGAGAGTTTGAACAATAGGATTGCTGTAGGCAGTAATATTCGTATGTCAAATATATGCTTCATCAAGTATTTGTAATAGTTTAAAAATATTGTATAAAGTGGATGGTATGATCTACGAGTGTTTAGATTATTAATTGTTCAGAATTACTGGAAAATTACGATTTTATAAAGAAAACATTTCATTGAAAAAAATCACAAAGCATGATTTTAAATTTAAATAGATCTGCAACTACCCGCGCCATCTATTGGTGTAGTGCAAAACTTAAATCCAACACAAGTAGATATCTGTGATGAAGGAGACTGCTTTGCTTTTAGTTTTGCCATTAGCCGCTAGATAGCACTAATTTTAATTTTGTTACGAATTTTATTGTATGCATATACAGGAAACCCACAAAAAGTTTACCAAAAGTTTTATAAACAGAGTTCTTGTGTTTTTTTAATTAAAACAATACACATGTTTTTACTCTCATTAAAAATTTGATTTATACAAATACATTCGGAAGATAACTTGTTATTGTTATTGACAATATAATCGTTCCTCATTTATCTAGAGAAATGTTAATCTGGTAGGACCAATCAAAGTCGAAATGTCAAGGTGCCGTAAGCAATAAAGAATAAATAAATGTAAGCACGTGTTTTGCGGTTTTCACAAATAGTGGTATGTATTTTGAAAACTATTTTAAAACAAATACTTAAAAATTAAATGCAGTGACTTCATCGAACAAATAATATTGTAATACTGATGTATGTAGTAATGAATACAGTTGTATAATAATTAAGATGTTAATTGATACTTTAAATATTAAATATAAGATAAATACTTTGGTGTATTAATAAGCTAATAAGCTGCTCTGCATATATTTTTTGTAAAAAATCAAGACAATTATTCAGGTGCTTGAAACCCACTCCTCTGTATTCACATTATGTGTTACGTAAGAAAAGTTGTGGGGAATCACTATTTACTTTGCTAAATAAATAAATAAATAACTTAGTGTAAGGTCATATCGGTTAATTATTAGTTAAATACACCAAGGATACTAGGAATATTATGTATTTTATCGGTTCAATTGGAAGAGTTCACAGATTTCGATAAAACGAATTGTTTTTGCTTTATACAAAACATATTCTGATAGGGAATAAACGCGTCGGTTTGTCAAAATTGTATGATTACTTTGATGTCTGTTTCCAATTTCCGAGACAGAGAAAAGCAAAAGAACAAACTGTTTACAGTAAACCAGAAAATATTTATAATTTGAATTTGTTATTTTCTTAATTAAGCTGAGAAAATAAAATAATAAAAATAAATGTATTAAACCGTTGGTAAAAGCAGGGAAGGTAAGAACTTTTTTTTCGTAAAACCCTTCTAAAGCTGAAATAATTATACTGGGTGTATGAAGAAATTAGATGAAGATAGAGCACTACAAATATTGCGAGTTTGCTTTAAACTCTTGCTCAATTAATTGATTCGGAAATTGCGTAAAAGAAATAAAAAATATTTTTAGCAAAAGCTCAGAAAAAACAAAAATATACATTTCACTTTTTGGTCATATAATATCAAACCACATTTTTTGGTAAATGTTTGAAATTAAAAAAATTGTTGATGAAATCAAGGGTTCTAAGAAGCTGAAATAATTTCAGGTGTCTATAATCTATCAAGTTTCATAGTCAAAGATTGTATCAATGTACTCTTGGCTCTTTTGCCTTTCTTATTTAATCTTATTTTATCAAAAGTCAATTTTTGTATGTATGGGAAACTGGAGGAATTTAATTCTAAAAACATTTCTTACTCTTGCTAGTTTTCAAAAAACTTTATCGTTTTCAACAAAAACACGAACAACTAATAATGTAACTGTGTTTGAAATCCTCAAAATATCTAAAGTTGACTTGAATTTAAACGTCAAACTCAGGAAAAATGTCATATTTTAATCTTAGTAATTGTGCTGCTCTATGTAGGTTCTTATACGAAACACCCTATATAACTCCGCTGTCTCTATTAGTAAATAAAGTAGGACAGTGGCTTGAGATTTTAGTTGAGCTTCCTATTAATAGATGGCGCAATTAAAGCACGTTATAGCTGTCCACTAAATTCGTTTTACTTTCACATTTTTTTAAATAACGATATAAATAATCATTTTATATAAAAATAAAGAAATACAGGTCAAGTTTTTTTACCTACTTACATCATTTTATGGCAGTATCTGAAAATGTTCATCTCTTATATTCGTACTTTTGGTTGAGCTTCATTCTTCATTATTTAGAAGAAATTGTTCTGCATTGATATTATTTTTAAATTTTTTTATTGTCACATCAATTATCCCATATTGATAAGTCTTTAATTTCAATGTTGCACCACGTCAACATTAGGTAGGTACATATTTTATGATAGTGGTAGTACAACCAACGTCCAGGTGGTGTGAATCACCCTGTATGTATAGGTATTTTACTGTTAAATAAAGTGCATACTATGTGACAACATAATCAGTTTAAGTGATACTGGCCTTGTCATTTTTCTTGGATTTTCTGCCAATATTTTCCATTTCAATTGTAAAATACTATTTCCCACACAACTACATGTAAAATATGGCTGTATGTCCTTGTTCCCTGAGCAAGTAATAAACAAAGGATTTTTCAAAACGTTTTATTTAAGACTTACGATGCTTATTTTTATGCTTACTAATGTTTTACAAGTTATTCCTTGGTAAACAAACAGGCAGTTGTCAAATTTTTAAAGGCAAATATTTCAAAAGTATGCGCACCACAAGAAAGCAATGCAAATATTATATCGCTTTCCCCTTTTAGGGATGTTTCAGTAATAAGGACACTAACCGGATTAAAATTGGTCATGTGTGGAAACTGGAAATGGAAAGATCAGTAAATCCAGCTACAATAACCTAAAATACCGGGTGTTTTGGAAAAAGATTCAAGGGTTGATAGAACATCAAAAAATAAGAAATATTTTTTATGGACCATCGTTCTTTGTTTTTGAGAGGGAGGGTATTAAATATGAATTTTTGTATGAAGTAAAATGTGGGCAAAATTTGGTTTTTGAATGTTATTAGTTTTTGACCACCTGCTAGAGGGGCGCCTTTCTCAGTGACATTTCATGACATTACTATTTGAGGTTAAGTTTTTTACGGTCTATGTCGTATATCTCTTTTTTTGAGAAAAAAGTAAGTGACTATCTTAAAATCAACCAGTTTCTTATAGGGTTATTTACGTAACAATATACAAAGTTGCAGGAGATTTTACTGTGATTTCAAAACTGTTCTTAGAAAAACAATTGATTGCATTTCAAAGATACAAGCCGATTTTACATAGTCTGAAAGAACACCCTATATATCTCCGTATATTTGTATAAAGAGCTTCCTTAACATTAAAGTAATATACAGTTTAATAGATCTCCAATAATAAAGAAAGAGTAAATAAATATGATAACAAAGAACTTTTGCCATGTCTCTCTTATTATTAGAGATAGGTCTTATGTCACTGTAATGTTAAGGAAGTGATTCGAATCACAATATTCAATTGTCTTTTTATTATAGCCTTGAAATCGCAAGAAAATTTCCTACAACTTTGGTTCACATAATTTTTTTGTGAATTGTTTTTTGAACACCCTGTACAGAGTGTTCAGGGTGTTCGAAAACCAATGGATCATATTTCAAGGAGCACTTTCTGGGATGGAAAAGAAAAACTATTTAAATCAATTGATATTCTTACAACTTTACTTGTTTCAAAAGTTATCGGCCTCCAAAAAAATTTTTTTATTAAATTTGAATACCGACATAACTTAAAAAAAAAAACAAAATAATATTAAGGTAAGTTGATCTAAAACTGTTTACTTTAATCCAGTGGGGTATGACCCACAAATTTGATTTTAGAGAACCATTTTTGACACCCTGTAGGTATCTCAGAAGCAAAAGATGATAGTCCCATGATGATAGTTTTTTAATGATCTATCACTTCTTGAATTTACGGTGACATTTTCAAAAACATCCTGTATAGGAAACATTGACGTTAATTTCAATTGAGAAGTTAGAAGCTCGTGTGATGGAGGGGGCGGCATATTATTCTTAGAAAATAATATGACATCAATTTTATTTATAAAAATTTACAATGGATTTTATTTGTAAATAAGGGACTGTTATTTAGAAAAATTGTATGATCTTACTGAAAACATTCCTTTTAATAAATTTTTATTCGTAAAAATGATACCCTTACCTCCATATCTACACCACTGGTTATTTGATTTTATCGGTAATATCGCTAAATTATGACTAGAATCAAATGATTCAGAAAAATAAAATTTTATTTTAGAATTTTGCATAATTTTCGTAAATGGGTCCAAAAATTGACCAAAAATTTTCATAATTTTCCATATATTTCCAGCGACATTCAATTACGGATCATTCTGTATAATTAGTACTTATACTATCCATACTCAGTATCATTTCAATCTGACAAAGCATTTTAGAGTAACTTCATAACTTTCATAAATGTTTACAAGCTAAGTGACTGCCGAGCTTAGACAACCAACATTGCAAGGTTGGTACTTGTACCAAAAATCCCTAAAACTTGGCGCACCAATATTAATGATCCGTTTACAATGAACAATGACAAACAAATGACAAAGTCAGTGAATGTAATTCTGATATGTTAATAATTTTTAAATTTATCGAAATTTAATTAAAAACGGGAAGAAATTATATTACTTTTTGAAAACACTGTAAATTTTTTTGTCAAATTCGACGCCCCCTAGAGCCTAAACAAAGCAATTTTAAATGGAGGTAAATTTAATTAAACCATCTTATTGTGACTTGCACGTACACATAATATTGGGACACCCCGTATTTATGCCAAATTCATTTTGGGTGTTAAAAATCAAATATTAGTAAGACGGAAAGATCCCCCTCTCTGTATGTAAGTCTGACCGGCGCAATGTTTGACTACTTGGGTATAAAGGTCAACAGTTTGATGGGATCGTTGCCAGTGCTCAAGATTTGCTCGGGGTGTTCAGCAACACAGTGACGTCCTGCTTATATTTTCCGAAACAGAAGAGCTGCTTTATTCTCGTCAAGATGAAGACCACTTTCTTGATAGCATTATTTTTAGTAGTCGTGGCTTGTTCAGCAGCCAGTGGTAAGAAGCTTTTCTGTTTGTTAGCGGCTTATATATATTTTGTTAAACGCCAGATATATCGGAATATACGTACATATAAAAAATAAGACGGTCAAGAATCACATTCAAAATTTTCAGAAATGGACGTCAATTGGACAAATATTCTTTTGCTTAAAAAGATTTTGAAATCTTATCTTATCAAAAATTCCGATTTTATCTGCTGTTTTTAGTTCAATTTTTTTTTATTCTTTGATAGACATGGACTAGAAATCATGTATTTTTCTTTCATTTGAAATGAAATTATTTGAAATATGTGTATAGTAAATGTTTCTCCGCATTATTTAAAAAAAAAATCTAGAAATATTTAGGAATATTTTTAAGAATTTTTACAATAGAAGATTAATATTCCCTAAAGCAAAAAATAACAAAAAACCCGTTTTGTTCATTATGCATCTCAAATTTTTGAAAAGCTAGTATTCAAAAACAAATTAATTATATTTAAAATCATAATCATTACTTTTACGTATTTATATTTAATTTTATATATTTTACAATTAAAAAAATTAGGTTATATACATATTTCAATTAGACTTTGATATGTAAGTATAAATAGATTGGAGGATATAATTTTAAAAATGTCGAAAAGTCTAAAAAATTTTCTGAAATACCAGATATATGTCTATAATGAGATATATTATAAATGTGATGTTCAGGAATAAAAGCAAAGTTTTAAAAGGTAAAATGTCGATTTAGTAAATAGTTCTATGTATAAAAAATGTGTAAAATCGGATCGCTTTATCAAAATTTTCGTTTTTATCTCTCAGGGTTTTTTGCGTCAGCATTTCTACTCGTTTTTTGAATTGTTTGACAGACGTGGATGTAGAGCAATATATATGTTTCTCAAATCACGATATAACATTAAATTGTATGAAATATCTATTAAACGAATTTGAAAAAAAATATTTTTATCTGAATTGCAAAATATGTATCTTTAATGAAATGGAAACCTACTCAGTATTATTTTGACTGATTTTTTGACAAAATTTGTTGTATTTTTCAAAAATTTAAATAAGTTTCATGAAATGTAAACATATTTCACGCCCAAAACATTTACACAGCAGTTTTCAATAAAAAAGAGACTTTTACAAATGTACCACTCACAGCTTTTACAATTACCTAAAAAATGTTGGGTATAAGCTAGTATTAAAACATCATTAAATAGGGTTGCAAATTGCATTTCTACAAAATTGTTTCATACAGTGTGTTTATTTTGAGATGTCATATAATAAAATATGTGTAACAGAGCTGATTTTTCTTCAAAATGAACGTAGTTTTCTACAGAAGTTGTTTTCTGTAAAATATTTACAATAACTTTATGTCAAACTTATTTATCAACTAGGTTTTTCGCTAAAAACATAATACATACAAAAAATAGACCATTTAAATACAAGTTCTTTTTGTTTTTAACATATCGGTTGCTCTATTTTCAAATTTCGCTGTTCCACGTATTACATACAATGTACTGCATAATAAAATCAAGGTTTTATTTTGCGTATCAAAACTTTGATAACATTTTACCTTTGACATCACACTGACCGCTGATCAATAAGCATGTCAAGTTTTCTTAAATGATTTGAATAAATAAATCGTCTGGCCAGGGCTTTTAATAAAAATAACTTCATGTGATTTTCCACTGTGCTGATAACGTTTTGGAAACGTAGATAACTACTAATTGTCTTCACGAAAGCAGATTTTAAGAAAAACGATTAAGTTAGTGCTAAAATGTGTTTTTAGTAAATCAAAACTATAATTAAAATTCTGAGACTTTTTCTTATTACTTTTTTTTTAATAACTTGTAGCTGATGAATGTACAACAGGGGACGTTAAAAATGTTGATTGCAATAGATGTAGATGCCTTAACGGCCAATGGGCCTGTACCAGAAAGGGATGTTTGAGAAAAAGGGGTAATTTTAAATTAGTTTTTGCATGCACGCATTATGTCATTTTCGTAACTAATTTTTTTTTTATAATTTTTGAGAGGAATTTTTATATTCTGTAAATTTTTCGTTTTCATCAATACAAAACATGTACAATATGCAAATTTTTTACTATATTTTATAAAATTGTTTTAAATAATTTCACAGATTTGTTTGAAAATGGTCGAAGCATTTTTGCAGTTGATTTATATGAAATAAAATTGCACTAACATAACAGAAAATTTATTAAACCCGTTTAACCTTCATTTTGATAGTTTAGTCCAAATAATTCGTGTGTACGATGAAAAATTTAATGTAAATTTATAGCTGTTTCGTATATGTTGATTACATCTTACAAAGTACTACCTTGTATTTATAATTTGTTTAGCTTTTCCTGTAATTGGGTGTAACCTGTAGGAAAAATAAAGTTATTATTATTATTATTATTATTAAAAAAAACGACAAAATTCATTTATATTTGCAAATATAACGGAAAAAGAATATATAACTGACTAAGACGCTTATAATTTTATATTTTTAACACAAATCATAATCATATTTTCTCTATTTAATTTTTCATTAATAAACGTAAATTAGGATTACAAAATTCAAGAACAAATGTACTAATTTTAATCAATTTGCCTCGCATCGATTTAAAAACTGTTACTATTCAATTTTCCTTAAAATAAAATCTATAGCTGCTTGGATATAATTATAATTGTTCCAGAAATCCAGACACATCTGTTTTTAATTTTTTCACACTTTTCACAGCTTGTTCTATTAGATATCAGACTAAATCTGTAGTGCATACAATGTTTATTACTGATAGGATGAATTTGTTTATCGCTTATGTAAAATAAAAATTTGAATTTAGAATTTAATTTTAATTTAAATTGCACTAGAATTTTTTCACAAAACATTTTGTTTATTTTTAATATGTCTGTGTTTACAATAATTGTTGTTTCTATACGACTGAAAGTATAAGAACTACACATGTTTTTCTATAATTTTTAAATTCTTCATAGACATTTTCTTTTACCTGACAATTAATATATTTTCATTACTATTCGGGGGCAATTGAAGACAAGAAATATTGCTATAATTCAACAAAGCATCAAGAGGGCGTTTAGATATCACATTAAATTTTATGTTTATCAATAACATTCCAGAGAGTGCGAACAATTTTGACTCAATGAGGTAACACGTATATATAGTATATTTTAAATAACATCTTAAAATAATACTTTCACATTCCTGAAGAACTATTTTCAAATAAAACGTTTGTAAAGAAAACTAAATACATTTGTTATATTGATATGTATATTAACGCTAATCTATTGTCTAACAATTTGTTTGAGTTATTTTAGAATAAAATAAAATTTGTAATGGGGAGATTCAGAAATGAATATTAACTTTAAACAGAACACCCCGTATAATAGTCTAAGATAATCCACAGTGTTCAGTAGCACAGTTAAATTCCAAGTTATTAAATTTAATGCAGTTGGCTTTGACTGCATTTGTTTTTAATGGTAACCATATATTTTTCTTTTTTTTTTTGTGATATTTGGTCCGTAAATATTTGTCAATTATACTTTATATTATCGAAAATTATTATTTTTTATATTTAATTTAATTATTTACTTTTCATATTAATTTTTGCGATAAACTTATTCAAACTTAAGAAACAATGCGGTGATAATTAATGAAACATTTCCGCTTGTAAACGAGAACTTTTGGGGGATTATGTTTTACCTTTGACCCCTCACTGGGCGCCCTTAACAATTTTGTCTAGATGTCTGGGACGACACTCTCCTAAAAATAATTGCGTGATGTAATTTTTATCTGCAGTTGATAACAGTGTCAGCGCTTGTTGTATCTCTGGACGAGGATAACAGCCATAATTCGTCGAGAAATTCGTGCTTTTGTCCACTGAAACATATAAGAGTCTTCCTAATTGTATGTGTACAGGTCTTGAATAGAGTCAGTCAAAAATAATAGAAATTTTAATGTTAATTAATATTAAATATAACATAAGAATTAACATTTTCTTAATATCCAGGAAATTGTAAATTCTAAGGTTAGAAATCAATTTTTGAAAATTTCGAAAAGCATACTGTTAGTCTGACAATAATTCGGAAAAAATTATTAATAAAAATTAAAATAATTGACGTAAATGAAATGGTCACCTGGATCTATCATGAATTTTTTCGTGACAATTTAAAATTTTTGCTATTTTGGGGTTAAATTTTCCATATATGCTTATGCTTAGGGTTCTGTTTTATAAAAAATGTATCAACAATGTAGCCTGTACATGTACAAGTCGCAACACCATGTATGTTCACAGAGTCAAAATATTAAAATTAAGAGAAAGCTGATGTAAAAAAAGTTTCAGCATATTCGTTATTTTTTTTTCTTTAAATATTTGAGTAAATTCAATTCATTGTTAATAAATATTTTGTTGCTTAGGACAGGTAGAAAAATATGAACTGAAATTTGTTTTTTACGGTCTTCTTGCTTTATAACAAAAAACGAATATATTACAAAACAAAATTTAATTGTCTTGCAATGTCTAAAACCGTTTTATCCAATTTATGGGACAAAGCAGAATAACCAGTGGGACAAGGTAGAACATTGTTTTACTTATGCCAAAAATAAATGAAATAGCACTTTGTATAAAACATTTTTAACAGAAACTTTAAAACAGAAAGTGGAATATTTCTTTAATAACCAACCTTTTTTTAGAGCTTCTACACAGTTAAAGTCTTGATGAGATACACAACAATGTGTAGATACAAAGCGACATTAATTTATGTTTTAAATTTTTGAGATAGAATTCCAATATTTTTTCGTTACATATAGTACAGGGTGATTCGCAAATGGTGACCAAAAACGAGACCTCGTATTCCTTGGTGAATTTTAAGGGGAGTCGTTCCTATAAACTTTTTATCTAGCTTCGTTAAAAAGATACAGGGTGTTAAACTTCAAATAATATTATAAATTTTTTTTAAATAATTTAAAAACAAGTAAGTGTAATAATTTGAAATTGAGCACATGTATTTATCTAAACATTGCCCAAAATCTAAGGGCTTTTCCTAAAATTTACGTGCTCCAGTGGCGGAGAATCAGGGTATCGGTGGCATATTTTTCTAAATAAAATAGTACGCCACTGCTTTACGGTAACAACCATGATATTTTTGGATTCAACTTTTAATTTTCTACAAATTACTACGCTCTTATGTTTTTCGAAATAAGCCTGATTTTTGAGTAAAACTTAAAAAACACTTCGATATCCGAATGCCTTTTAAAATTACATAGCGGGCTGTGATAGCAACTTTTGACATTCTGAGCAGTTAGAAGAAAGAGTAAATAATGCTTTTCATCAAATTTTCGTTACTAAAAAGATGTCGGACCTGTATTCGTGGAAATAGAGGTATTTTTAAGCTTTTACTCAAATAAATCATTAAAATGATGACTAATGTTATTAATTTCTTTATTTGAATAAATAACCGAATGATTAGTGCTTGTCATGTCATTTCAGTAAAATTGTTTTCAATTGGTTTTTTAAGTTTTTCTCGAAAATCGGGCTTTTTTCGAAAAACATGAGAGAGTAGTAATTTGTAGAAAATTGAAAGACGAATCCGAAAATATCATGGTTGTTATCATAAAGCAGTGGCGTACTGTATCTTTTTAACGAAGCGTCCTAGATAAAAAGTTTATAGGAAAGACTCCAAAAAATTCGAGGTGTATTAATAATTGAAAAGACATATAACTTTATTTTGTTATAATTATAAAAAGCATAATTTCCATAGTTTATTTATCATGGAAAATGTAGTTTCCAAGCAATACAAAATAAATTATCTTCAAAAGTTATATTGAAAGGCGAAAAGATATTAAAACATATACAGGGCGTTTCTTTAGAAAAATTTTTAATATTATTGAATGATGCCCAAATTACAGTTTTAATTAGCCTATTAGAGACTGCAATTTTTTTAGATACAGAATGCCAACCTGGAGAAAGCAAAAAAATAGATTGCAACCACTGTTTCTGTTCTGGAGGACACTGGGCTTGCACTCTAATTGGTTGCAACGTAAAGGGTATTTGAGTTTTTATAGCATGTCGCATGACTATATACGGGGAAAATATATCACACAGAATCATTCAAAGTCCATTTTCATAATTAGCCTGAAGTTCATTTTTCTTAACATAAAAATGTTGGGTATGCGACTAAGATTATTATGCGCAAAAACTGGTTTAGGCGAAGTTATTTATCATAAATAATAAACAATGAGTAAAACAACAATAAATTTAAAAAAGAAGATTTTTTTTGGTATTATTACCTATATTCTTTAAGATTGAGAGCAAATATTTTTTTAAATGTAAATCGACAATTATTTTCATGTGATAAATTTTAACGCGATCGGTTATGAAGTCATGAATTAAATTAGCTTTATTTTTGACAACTTTGTAGGGTTGTAACTGAAAAACCAAAAATTTTTTATTTAACTTTTTTCGTATATCGTATTTATTCATCGTCGTGAATATGCAGTCAAACGTAACCGGTGAAATTTGCGGACACCCTGTATTTATTTCTGTACGATAAAACTATTGCCATATTTTAAATATTGTATACCAGGAGCTTTCAAAGTAGGTTCTCTGTGATACTTTACAAATGGCACACGCTGTATCTTTTTAAATAGTAGGAGAGCTATAATACAACAATATAATATGTAAAATATAATGCATTCTCTGCAGTAATATTATTTTTACGTCATATACAAAATAGGAACCACTTTTATGAAATATAAAAAAATGTTTACATCGAAAATATACAGTTTTATATATTATACTTTATTATGACAGACTTATAACTACTTCAATTCAAAATATATTTAACTTATTATTATTTTTACGTATAAAATAACTTGTAGTATACAGGGTGTGCCATTTAACACTCCCGCTGGCAATAACTCTGAAATGAAGACATTTATTTTAGTTTCGGAAACTGGGGATGTTAGGTCCCTCGAATAGCTTCAAATTGCAGTTAGAATTGTTACTTAAAATCTTTCTGTATAGATGGCGTGGCAATACTAAAAATTTTTTTGATTCCTGGAACGTAGAAATGCAGTCCATCTGAAAGATCGTTAAATTTTGAGTAATATTTTGAACATTTATTATAATCTTTTTTTAACTTAGTTGATCATTTGTTTTTTTATAATTTACTGTTTGTTAGTTAGTATGTGGTGTGAATAAAGTCATTATAACAATATTTTAAACGAATATTTTGTCTCAGTGTGATTTAATAAGACTTCTGTTACATCATACATTGCATATTCAAGTCAAGTTAAAAATATTTATTGTGCATAGTTACAATGGCAATATACAATCCTAAAGGACTAGACACAGATAACTGATTGATATTGAAGTCAAAATGTCTCGACATATTGGGAAAAACTTGATATTACAAACATTACTCAATATTTAATGATCTTTCAGATGAACCGCATTTCCACGTACCATGAATCAAAAAATTTTTCGCCGTCTATATAGAAACATTTAAACAAACTGCAAATGAAACTGCAATTTGCAGCTATTCGAGGTATAACAGGTCCAATTTCCGCAACTAAAATAAATTTCTTCATTTCGGAGATATTGGCAGCGAGAGTGTTAAATGGCACACCCTGTATATGTAGCTTCCAAATAACACAAATTAATACTTCACGGATCTTGCAAATTTTACAACATTTTTGATTTTCAAATAACAGTTTTCACTTGAGCGTGTAAAAACTATAAAAGGAGATAAGGGGTCCTGATTAATACCACCTTATCAGATTAAAAAAAAAATAGCAAAGTGTTTATATACGGGAGTATAAAGAAAATCATAGCAGGCCTTGGATGGCCATCTTGAAAGTCGTAGATGGATCAGAAGAAGCGGTTTTCAATGCCATTTAAAACAAGGAAATATTGTGTTGAATTATCTTGAGGCATAAAGTTTTTACGGATCTGTACACATTCAAATCTTTGAGATCGTGTAGAAGAAAACATTTTGTATAGTTTTGGGTCAAATTTCACATCTAGAGGTTTTTTGGGGGTTCACACCACCTTATCAGATATTAATTATTAAATTAAAAGAATTTTGTTGAATTATCCTGAAGAATAAAGTTTTTACGGATGTGTAAATAAATAAAAGTAGATACACTATATGACGTAGGATATAGGGTGTTTGTTTTCTTTAATTTTAAAGGTATTTCTCTTTTTATAAATGGTCAATAATTATTTACATGAATAAATTAAGCAGTTTTTTTTTTCCTATTTTTCCTATACGATACAATTTTTAAATATCGTAACGTATAGTTCATGTTCTGTTATTTTTTTTATAGCCGCTGAGTGCTCTACAGGACAAACTAAACAAGAAGATTGCAACACTTGTTTTTGCGCAAACGGCAATTGGGCTTGTACTCTAAAAGCATGTTTGAGGAAGAGGGGTAACTTTGAATTATTTTTGTAGTATCACATCATTTCATGCAAATAAAATGGAGTTTACTAACCAACAGTCATTCAAAAAAAAAAAATCGTACATTGACAGTTAACTTGAAACTCATTTTTCACAACATAAATAATTTGAATATACCGCCATCGAATTACATAACGTTTATACGGATTGTCGTTAAATAAAGTTAATATGATATAAAAAAAATATTTCAGATATCTGTGTTGGATACGGCTTAATCATTTTTATCGCCCACCCAGTATATCTACTTACTTTACTCTTGATTATAAATATTTCTGTACGGGATATTTCATAATGGCTAGCTTATATTATCATTTCTTTTTCATTTTAAATATTTGTTTATTTTTGTGAGGATACACATTTCCTATATTATTTTCGGTAGCGGCCGATGAATGTCTGCCAGGAGACAGAAAAACAGTGGAATGTAACACTTGCTTCTGCGCGAATGGACTTTGGGCATGCACCAAAAAAGGATGTCATGCGAAAAGGGGTAACTTTGAAATGTTTTCATAGCAAGTCTAAAAGTACTTCACTACAATCCATATGCATATCGCACCCACATATGTTCTAACAGTTCTTTTATTTGTTGCATATTTTCCCACCAGTGAAAAAAAATTTGGCAGTAAAAAAAGTAGACATTAAAAAAACATTAAAAACACCTATACAGGGTGTCCCTAAAAGGTCTTTATAACGCTGCACCAGATACAGTGCGACTCAAAATAAGTCGATTTAACTAAACTAATATTTTCTTTAATTCCAATTCATTGTATATTTTAAAGGGCGCCACAAACGGCCATTACGAAGCATTTAAACTGCCAAAACTTTTTTGTGCCACCGTGTATTTGACTTTGGGCTGGAAAGATCTTATATATAAATTCGAATTTCTCATCCCAAAAACTCCCCGGATACGAAATTTCACGAAATTAGCTCGAAGTAGTCGAAAAATGTTAAAGAAAATGTTTTTGTTTCAACTTCAACACCCTGTATCTCGTAAACTATGCTTTTATGAGCAACACTGAATAAGACTTTTCCCCATTAATTTTATTCGTAGAATCTAATAGTAAAGTTTGGCCCATCCTTTATCGGACATCCTGTATATGTATTTCTGAATTATCAGAAAAATTAAGTACCTAAAACAGCTAAGAAATTTAATATTAGAACAGTTTGTCAAACAACTAATACTATTTTGTCAAAGTCACGCCCAATAATTAATGATTGAATGATTAAAATTCCAAAAATTTAATTAATGTGCAGAGATCTCTAGATCTGTAATATCAGAATAGTCGAGCACAAAGATTACTTAAAAAACAGGAATTTAAAAAATAAAAAATTGAGATCACGCTTAGAAAACGTTCGTATAGTTCAATGGGTTGGGACAAAATTTTAGAGAAACAAAGAGTACTATTAATAGAAAATTAAAAGATACCGATTAGTCCAATTAAATAAGATTTTAAATCGAAATTTTGGTCAACTTGCCTCAATTTTTGATATGAGTTAGTTTGAGGTATGTTATAACAATAAGTGACAGTAATTTTTTGTTCAACCCCCGGGTGAAAAAAGATAAAACAAAGGGGTTTTTCAAGATAAACTCAAAATGAAATCTTAGTTCTAAAAACGAAAATACAGTAATTTTCAAAGCGCCGAAAACTTACCAGATATACGATGATGCGTTTTTGTTTTTTTTTATTTGTCTGCTTTCTTTAATGTGAAATGCCATTAATTTTTTATTTTTTTATCACTGGTTTCAAATTGTTCGATAAATAAACAAAAAACTAAAACTACGCTACAAATAATTTCAGAAAATATACTAACAACAAATTAAACAAAAATTGAAACTCGAACATTTCCCATTTTCCAGCTCTCATTTAGATTCATTTTAAATTTATTTTTTTACGACATAAAATTTTGGAATTTTAACATTATTTGTCTATATGTTCACACAACGAAAATCTTCCAAATATCCGTTATTTAAATCCGCTGTGTCATACATTATTTTATGGGACCTTCAGCTTTGAAGGTACATGTTCTATTATTTTCGGTAGCGACCCGCCAAGAATGCTCACCAGGGGAAACCAAAAAAATTGACAACGTGCATAGGTGGATGCTGGGTTTTTACCGAAATAGGATGTAGACCACATATTTAGAAAGTTTAACAGCACTTTACATACGCTATTTAACTGGAGACAAATCTTCATCTCTACATTTCATTCGCGGAGTGGTTTCCATTTCCCATATTCATTTCGATTCATTTTGAACTAATTCATATAATATAATGCACGGCAATTCAAATTATTCACACCTCACTAATGACAATTTAAATTTCAGTGGTTAAATAACGAAACTAATTTTTTTTTACTTTTTAGCCATCCCAGCTCGTTTCGACGTAGAATCTAGACATAAACGAGGTAACTATACTTTTTTACATATTTTGGGAAAGGTGATGGTGATAGAATCTAGAAATGGGTAAATTTGTATAACACGACAGTAAAACTTTTGTAAAATTGTAATTTGTAAAAAAAAGTAGTACGTAAATCTTTTCAAAATGACCACAGTCTGTTTAAACATTTATTTTGTTTTATGTAAAATATTACTATAACGAAAATTTATTTAAAATAGTATTATTACGATATTTCGAATGTAGACCCGACTGAAAATCTGCAACATTTGCCTATTTTTGAGATTCTAACTTGCTTTTTTGCTTATACCTATCCTTGCGCCCGTTTGCATGGCATTTTGGGCGCAAGATTGCATTTTAACAACTATTACCAAGTATTTGTAAGCCTATTGCCGCTTTGATATTACGCATACTGCTTTTGGGTGGCTGGTGCTAAATAAACATAGAATGTAATTCTTCTGATTCTGCTATCGGTTCTGCTTGCTAGAAATTAACGTTACGCTTTGCAGTTAGGGACTGAAATTAACGATGGTCTTAATTAAGTCAACATAGAAAGTTTTTTTAAGATAGAGAAGCTTTAAGATTTTGGTGACTTATAATAATAATTAAGCTTTCTGAAATATGTATTTGGATTATATAAAATAGCACATTTTTCTATACATTTTGGAAACAACAATGTGAAATTTGTAGGTGATAAGTATGGCATAGATCAGCGGTCTTCAAACTTTTGTGACTTGCGGAACCCGGACATTTCGATTTTTTTGACAAACCCCCATACCTAAAAAAATTCGAACGCACTTTTCACTGATTATATAATATATTTATAAATACATACTACGATTAACAAAATAAATATTCCACTAAGTAAAAATTAAACTAAGACTTTAAAGTTTAAAGAAAATATGTACTGGATACTTTAAAAAAGAGTAAATATAATCAATAACTTGGATGTGATTCTGCATTGCAGTCTAGAGAGGTTGTAGGGAACCGCTGATTTCTGCGAAACACACTTTGAATACCCCTGGCATAGATAATATGAAAAGTAGTTTTAATTTTTTTCTGAAATATCAAAAAAGTGACAGAAATGAAATTAAGTTGGCGTTTTCTGTCATTGAGAAGGCACTTAGTAAACAATTTGTTGATTTTCCCTCTTCGCTCTTATTTATTTACACCCTGTATAATAAAGTAGGAAACCTTAGTACTTTTACAAATATGATTACCTTCCTCAACTGTTTTTATTTAAAATAGTGGTTAAAATTACAAGTAATACGTACAATTTATCAAAAACAACAAACATTTTTTGTACCATGACTGTAATATCGGGAACACCGACAACCATACAGCTTAAATTTAAATAACAACTGCTACAGCTGCAACCACAGCTCAAAATTCGAAACGAGGATATTCAGTGTGTTCATTGATTAAGTTGAAAAGAGGGGATAATTTTATTTTTCATTTTTTGAAAAAATTGCTTATAACCATCTAACAATAAGAGTATTGCTTCCAAATTTAATACAAGAGTATAAATATTAATTCTGCTGAACTTTTCCTAATAAATTTTCCTGATACAAAAAGTGCACTTGCTGATAATAAGACCTACTTGATTTTACTAATTACTTTTAATCAAATGTTGTTAAGTTCAACTCAATTTCTTTGTCATTAGTACCTGTGGTACTTATTGTTAGAAATAAAAAGCTGTTTGTATTACTTAACAGACGTTGCGTTCTGGTAATAATATACAGAGTATTACAAATGGCACACGCCAATCTTTGGTGATAGAACAGCAAAAAATAAGAAAAAGTGTTCATATAATCATAGGTCGTAGAACAATCCGTATAGTGTTGAAATTGACAAAAATATATCACATTTATTTAAATGTCTTCCAAAATGTTTGACATACAACATACAGGGTGGGCCATTAGTGTGAGAAAGTAAAATAACTCCCTTGTTACTCATAATACAGAGAAAAAGTTTATGTAAAAGTTATATAGAAAACAAGAAACCTAAACTACAAAATTAATTTGATGCATACAGGGTAATGAGTAAAAACGGGACACGCCAAATATTACATTTTTTAAATGGAACACCCTTTATAATTTTAAACATATGGATTTCCGAGAAAATTCTATTTTTGGCAAAATCAACAGTTTATCATTTTAGTGCGAGGATGCCGTTATGTAGAAAATTCTTCGAATTTTGGAAAAAACATGACCTCGATGAAGTTGTATAAACTTTCAACTACTAACACTTAAAGCAAAAATATTTGATAGAGTTATAGGCAAATGTTATGCAAAGCCTCTTATACATATTACCTAATATCGATATTTTATACAGGGCATTTTTTATAATACGATTATTTTTAGAAAGTTTAAACTTGATTTTCTAAAATTTTTCAAATGGAACACTCTGTATTTTTTATTCTATTTTATTCTCATATCAGTCCACTTCAACTTTTATTAAGCATGTTCTATATCTAAAATTGTTAGTTTTTGTAAAAACTTCATTTTTATTATTTTATACAATACCACAATGTGACAGTTTTTTCCAAAGCCATTTCGTGCGACCGAAAATAATAAAAATGTTTTTCAGAAATGTTGCTATATCTTAAAAACTAACAACTTTAGTTGTAGAACATACTTAATAAAAGTTGAAGTGGACTGATATGTGAATAAAATAGAACAATAAAATACAGGGTGTTCCATTTAAAAAATTTTAGAAAATCAAGTTTGAACTTTCTTAAAATGATCGTATTATAAAAAATGGCCAGTATAAAATATCGACATTAGCTAATATAGGAGTCTTTGCCTAACATTTGCCTATAACTCTGTCAAATATTTTCGCTCCAAGTGTTAGTCGTTGAAAGTTAATAAAACTTCTTTGATGTTATGTTTTTTTCAAAATTCGAAGAATTTTCTACATAACTTGGCAACCTCGCACTAAAATGTTATACTGTTTATATTGCTATATATAGAATTTTCTCAGAAATTCGTATGTATAAAAATATACAGGGTGTTCCATTTAAAAAATGTAATATTTGGCGTGTTCCGATTTTACTCATCCCTGTGTGTTTCAAATTAATTTAGTCCTTTAAATTTTTTGATTCTGTACAACTTTTTTTGAAAAACTTCTTCTTTTACTTCCTCACACTAATGGCCCACCCTGTATATGTTTGAACAGCTAATTATATGCAAAACTTTGCTGAATTCAAACATATATTCCGTCAACTATTGACGGAGCTGCTTTAAGAAATATAGTGTCTAATTTTATTCAAAAAGCGAACCATTTTTGTTTGTTATGTTTTGTATAAAATAACCCTTCGACGTAGAATAAATCGAAAATACCTCCAAAACTATTGATTTTACAAATAAAACTTAAGGTGGCCATACCCCTGGCCGAGAAATGTTTGTAAAACATGCGTTTTCTGTTATCCTAACCCCACATTTTAAGAATTATTTTCACGTACTTATAAATAAAAGTAAACAATTTTATATGTAGGACTAAGCAAGTAAATGTTATAAGAATATTTACATGTGGAGTTATGTCTAAAAAAGTTAGTATTTTCGTAGATTTCAGTACCTAAAACCTCGATAGTTTGATCGTTTTTTGCACCTGTTTATTCGTTTTACTGCGGCGTCTTTGAAAATACTCAGGTGGCATGACATAACATTCCTATTATTTGATAAGCTTTAGATTATTCAGTTATTAAATGTTTGAAATTATTTGTCTTTGAAGAAAACACTATTTAAAGAATATGGGGCCCTTAAAAGTTTTTGAAAGAAAAATTATTTTAAATGCACCACAAGCCAAAAAAGAAATTATTGGTATAACAATTTCAAATTTGGGGGTTATTGATATTTTTGGACTTTTCCTAATTACTTTGTCTTTATAATTACTTTTTAACAAATAAATCTTCTATTTTTTTTATGAAACGGAGTTACTTTAGTTTAGTAATTCAACTATGTCGAAGACTTATTTTAAATAAAAAAGGAGTACTCAAAAATGGCATATTTTTCTAATAAAATGACATAAAAAGACATCTTTTTTCTTAAAAACACCTACCGGAAATGAACGTATTTGTTCAATTTCCAAAGTATTCTGGGGTTCTTGGACAATATCTATCAGAATCTTCACCACTGGTTTGGTTTTGGATTTATGTAGCAATTCAGCGAGTTTTTATCGATAATTAATTAAGTTATTATACCGTCTACATTAAATGTTTTGCGATATTTAAATCTGTGATTTTTTCAATTTTTTTTTCATTTTAAGATGTTCTGTCACCAAACAAAGTTTGGTGTGTGTGATTCGGTCAGTAGGGGACACCCTGTACATGCTGGCTCACTTAAAAATATAGTTTTGTTCATTTGAACACTAGCAGAAGTACAGCTACAGTTACAGTTTAAAATTCAAAAAGGAAACCACAAATTTTTGATAACACGCTTTGTAAGTTGGTTTTACCTTGACTGAAAGATTAATAATTCGAAAAACTACTTCCTAAAATTAGCAAATAAACATTTACAGCCACAACTGCAACCTAAAATTGAAAACGAAAGATACAAAACTTTACTGATAGATGAATTCGAAGAACTACATCCCAAAAGTCACACCACACAGCTACAGCCACAGCTACAACCTAAAACTCGAAACCGACGAGCGCAGCTTACAAATACTTCGTAAACACGCCGCCGAGGAGCAACCGCCTCAATCCTCCTCTCTCCCCCGCAGACATGCATGTGGCCGAAGACCTCAAGGATACCCCCTGCGCCCCCAACGACTACTTCCAGGTAGACTGCAACGTATGTTACTGCAACCTGGAGCACAGCGGCTACCTGTGCACCAACAACTATTGCTATAACTACGACGAGTCCACCACCGTGAAAATCCCCCTAGAGAACGATTCCATGCTAATCCTGTCCAGAGACGGCGTTAGGTTTATCGAAAACGCGAGCTCCAGGATCAATTCTCGCAGTAGAATTAGGAACAACCCGGGCGAGAATCGCGATGGGACAACCA